TCGGCAGTGTGATCATCCCAGATCAGCATGCATTTCTCCTGCTCTGACAGACCGATGCCTGTGTCCGAGCACCCAGAGAAGGGGCTCTCTCTCCCACGATGGCATGCTTCTCACCCCCACAGGCCGATGCCTGCGGGGGAGCACCCCCAGATGGGTGCCCTCTCCCCGGACTGCCTCTCTGCAGTCCTCTGTCTCCTGGAAGTCAGATGGTTAACTGGACAGAGCCTTCGGCCACAGCTGTGAAAAGACTCCTGTTCCTCTTTTTGCCTCGGTTTTTATAGGATTCTTGGTCAGTTGTCCTTGTCCGCTCATCCAACCAGATGCTGCAGTTTGCAGTTGATACCCTATTTGGCGTGCAAAATCATATTGTTCTGAAGTATTGCATTTTTTTTTTTTTACTGTCAGTCCAAGCCCACGGCCCGTAACTGGCCTCCACCCCACCGTGATCCAGCCTTGGATTCTAGTTCCTCTTTTCTAGAAAACTAAACCATCTGAATACATAACAAAATTACAAGAAACTCACATCTGACTGAAATACCAAATTTCCATCGCTTTTTAACAAAACAATCAGAATTGCACACTAGTTTCACACAAAACCATCAATGCCTTAAAATCAGAACATAAATCTTTATATTTTGAATACTTTACTTTGACTAACATGGATTATCATTGATCAAACAATTATCAGTCAAATCTTTACTTTTGTGCTTAAACATGATTTTTGTTACTTCCTCAATATGGTGTGTGTCTCTTCTGTGTGGGAGGCACACACACACACACACACACACACACACACACACACACACACTTGCCGTTCCTCATTTTAGAGATGTGTCTGCTTCCTCGTGTGATTCTGTACTTTCCACTCTGTTAGATGTAGAATCAGTTTTCCCCCCCTTTCACATTTTATTTAACACATTCACTAATGATTGGGTCAAACAAAACACAAATCATTTTATGATTATCTTTACTTATTAAAAGCTTAACTTTTCTAAGCATTCTGCCACAGCATTTTAATGATAATTCCTTCATCCTCTCCAACCTCCCCTGGAACTTCCTCTTTCTCCTCTGCCTTCTGTGTCTCGGTGCTCTTTGAGGCCCATATTCACAGCTTCGCTGACAACTACTGAGAAAGACTCTCCACCAAGGTTACCAGAGAAATCTTTCAGGAGATCAAGATTCTTGGAAAAGGTGCAACTTACCCAACACAAGAGCAAGGTGCACCAAATGGTTAAATTCCAGAGACTACAGAGTGGACAGCCAGCCTCAGATGTCCTCAGTTGGAGGAGCACAACCATTGCACAATGACAAATGGGTCAAAAATCAAGGGATTGAACTTTGCGGTCACACCCAAACAAATCCCTGTGGTAGACTTCATCACAGCCACAGAGTCGGCCATTGAGAGAGGAGTCAAGAAAGTTTTTTTTGTCCAAATAAAACACCCCTCACTAAATAGGGGTGGTGGACTAAGACACAACTTGTCATCCATCTACAATCCTGTTTTGAAATTTCTGCCCAAACATGCCCACCAGGACAATAGGTGTCGGTCCACAGGTGAGGGTTCAAAGACAGGTAACAAGGCTCACCGATACTGGAACACCACCGATGGGGATAAATATCTCCGACTCAACGCCCGCCAGGCAGAACTGATGAAGCCTCTTGGATGAGACGTGAAACGTCTTTGACCTAAAAATCAAGTCCAGTTGATTTTTCCAAGTTTTTTCAGTTCTTGTTAAAGTCACACAAACAGAAAAAATTTTCAGTGAGTGTTGTGATTGCACGCTACCAGAGGTAGCGTGACAGAAAAGGCGAACTCAGATGGCTGACTTCTGTTCAAGCAGGTCATTTATTTCCAGTGCTATACAAGGTAACGAGTGCTAGTACGTAGACAAACAATACTGAATAGATATAGGAGGAGAGGGAGATGGGTGCCGACAGCAGGAGAGTGAGTCCAGGGTTGTTGCTGGGCTGAGCAAGAAGATCACTCACTGGCTGGTCGTCCTGAGCAGGTAGGGACAGAAGAGGCAGGAGAAGGCAGAAGGTGACGATGAGCAGGAGGGAATGGAGAAGAGTTCACTGACCTGGCTGGTGAGAGGTTGTCTGGAGAGGAATGTTGTAGGTCCGGAGGTAACAGTTCCGTGTGCGCAGTATAATCCAGAAAACATAGGTGAAGGCAGGAGAGGACGAGGAGAAGACGTAGTAGAAGCAGGGGTTTTTATATTATTAATAATAATAATAAAAAAATTTTAAAAAAAGCAGGTTACAATAAGGCAGGGGACAAAAGGGTAGCACTAGTTGTCTGTATGGAAACAGGAATGAACTGGCAGAGGGTAGGTAGAAAGGCAGGGTAAATATAGGAGGTCTGGGGATTGCAGGAGTGAACACAGGTGGTGATAATGACACTAGCTGGCAGGTGTGTGGAAGAGAGAGGAGAGAAGCAGGTGAAACCAAGCAAACCTGACAGTGAGCCAACAGATAAATCTGGCTTAACTTGGGACTTGCCAGTTGCAGCTTAGGGGCATTTCTGACTTAATAATTCAGAATATGATCTTGGACGTGTCTTGTCTGGCGTGTCTAAACTCAGGACTAGAAGAGAAGCAGGTGAAACCAAGCAAACCTGACAGTAAGCCAACAGATAGCAAATAGCTCCTCTGTCTTGTCTCCCTCACACCAGCCACGATTCTTTTCAAAGGTTAATTTGTTTTGTTTTTTCTTTATATTATATTTTGTATTACTGTAACCATTTTTGTATAAATAAGTGGTTGTGGAACGAATCATCTGAGTTTCCATTATTTCTTATGGGGAAATTCGCTTTGATATACGAGTGCTTAGACACACGTTTTAACCATGGCATGTAAATCTGGCTTGTTTTTTTCTTGCATGTCATACAGATATTACATCACCACATGTAACCTCCCCCTCCTGTGAGTCTCAGGGGAGTTCTGCCACAGATTCTTGAGTGCACACTTCATTGTAGCAGTGATTCAGAGCAGCTCATGGCCAAATAAGACAAAAACCCCTGAGCTTGCTCACTGGGCCTGCATCTGAGCTGTAGCTATACACAGCATGTGTATTCATGAAGGATGACAAAAAAGCATTAGAGTGTAACTCTACATGAGTTGTGTACATCACCAAACGTTATCTGTGTAAAACGACATGTAGCTGTGAACTGTATATCCCCTGCATATGCATAAGACATGATCTCTTTCTAAGCCACTGTTGTGTGTCAAACCTTTACACGTGGTCAAGCAGGGATGACATGAAACAGCATCTGATTTGACTTTCAACTTCTTTGTCTTGTCATGCGGCTCGTAGTACAGTAACAGCTTGTCTTGACTTAGAACATGACTTGACCGGTGTTGCTATTCTTGAGTCTCTGATTCTGATTTGGGACTCGTCCATCTTAACTTGGTATTTTATTTAAGGGCTTCATTGTAGTTTGCTTTAGACTTAAATCTGGCTTAACTTGGGACTTGCCAGTTGCAGCTTAGGGGCATTTCTGACTTAATAATTCAGAATATGATCTTGGACCTGTCTTGTCTGGCGTGTCTAAACTCAGGACTGGAACCGGGGAGTATGGTGTTGGTCCTGAACTGCACTTGCCTGTCTTAACTTGGCATTTGACTGGTTCCTTTTGTAGTCATAAAACATTTGTGGACAGTAAGTTGCAATGTGTGTTCTGCATCAATCAATCAATCAATCATCAATCATAAACTTTATTACCAAGTATATTAAAATACAAGGAATCTGACTCCAGCTCCACGGCCCCAGATGTGCAAGTAAAAAAAAAAACAAGAAGACAAACAACCATCTATTGACAATTATGTACATATATACAAGTAAAAAGTGAGCTATTTGGTATGATTACATCTATAAGTTAGTGTCATGTACTAAAGTGTTAATGCAGTCACAGTGTGGAGCCTCTTGCATTATGGCCATTCAATACAAAAGAAATAGGTTGTTGTACTGTCCCTTTAAATGCCACTGAGGTGAAAGTCTGAGCTTTTCATCCCTAACTAACTAAATATGGGCAAAGCAGAAGTGGACAATGCTCTGGCAATTACATTTTCAGATGTTGTTATAAAGATTCAGTGTGTGTTTTTGTGTGTAAGTAAACACTGTGGGATCAGTGGACACTCTCTGCAGACAGCAGTTATTATAGTATACAAGTAGTATACAAACATAACATCCTGCTGATGGCGCAGCATTATAGCAGGCTGTTTATACGTTACTGTGGCTCTGAGATATTTGACATTTCAAAACAAATGTAACTGTGCTTGAAACTACTCAACCAGAGCTTCTGCACCAGTAAAGCGCATTTAGTAGAGAGCTAGATAAAGCCTGGAGACTAAAGGCTGCCTAAAGAGGGAACGAAACTAAAACCGTAGACAGTTTACTGTCTACGCCAGCGGTGGAAACAACTTCCTGTTGCGTCAAGACCCTTCGCAGCCTCAAGTTAAACCAGAAAATAAACTTCAGAATAAAAGCACGGCACAATGCTTTCACACAGGTGATTGAGTCACATTTGAAGGCACTATTGAATAAAGTCAGCCAATTTTAATATGTCCATGTAGTATGGAAATTTGCCTGTTAGGAGTAGGCTGAAATGGCAGAGGACACCGCATTCACTGGTGCTGTTGGTCTCTGACGCAGAGCGGTGCTTTTGCTT